CTGGCTGCTGCAGATACTCCAGTTTGATAGGGAGTTAGGGAGACTCTGGGTGAGTTGGTGACAGCAAAATGCTTTGAGGCTCTTGACAGGCATCAAAACCCATCTGGGGCTGGAGATTCCAGAGCCCCACGGAGCTGAAATTGGCTCTGAGAAGTGGTGAAGAATCAGAAGTGCTGTCCCTGTTCCTGTGTGTTTTCCACACCTCCTGCTCTTAGTCCCTGTGGGAGATGGGTTTCCAGGGCTGATGAACCTTTGATCCCCTCCCATAGAGCTGATTTTGTGGCTGGTTCTCCCAGAAATAGATGGAAAAGGCAGGGTTCAGGCACGGTGAGAAGGAAGCCTGGAGAGACTGAAGGCGTGTGAACTCTTTATTGAGAGGACCAGAAAGGAAATCATGGAATCATTTGGACTGGAAGCTTATCTCATTCCACCCCCCTGCCATGGGCAGGGACACCTTCCACTAGCCCAGGTTGTTTCAAACCTCGTCCAACCTGGCCTGGAACACTTGCAGGGATGGGGCAGCCACAGCTTCTCTGGGCAACCTGTGCCAGTTCCTCCCCACCCTCCCAGGGAAGGATTTCTCCCCAGTATCCCATCTAACCTTGCCTTCTTTCAATGGGAAGCCATTCCCCTCTTGTCCTGGCGCTCCAGGCCCTTGTCCAAATTCCCTGTGGCCACTCCCAGCCCCCCACTGCACCCTGGCTGAGCCCACCTCTGCCCTGACACGTCACCTTCCCCTGGCCCCACCTCCCCCAGGTGTCCCTGTCCCGGGGCTTTGGGGTGTGGGTGTCCCAGCTCCTGGGAGCAGCTGCCTGGATGCCAGGGCTTCCCTGGGGTTGGGATCCCAGCGCAGGTTCCCAGGATCCACCGCAGAACTCCCGCTGTGACCTCACGTGCCCGTCTCCATGGACGCAGCTCCCTAACACTGCCAGTCTGGCCAGCAGCCAACTGGAAGCCAGGGAAGCAGCTGGAAAACCTCAGAGGAGGGAAGGTAAGTGCCTTAAAATCCCAAATATTGTACAATCACAACTTCTTCCTTTTCCCGCAGGGACTTGGGAGTTCTCTGACCCTCACACAGCCTTAAAACTCATCATTCCCCCAAAATTCCAGCGTCAGTCCAGCCTGAGCTGGGATTTCAGTGGATTTATTCTGGTTTTTACCCGTCTTCTGGAATTTTGGAATTTTCCCTTAAAAACTGACATGAGTTGTATTAGGAAATGGGATTTTTTAGTTGCAAATATTCATGAAAACCATCGGACTCGTCAAACTCTGGCTCTAAATCCTGAATTCCAGCTTTCTGTGCTGGAATAAATAATTCAGAAATTCAGCAAATCCTGAAGTTAATGCTTAAAAAATGTTTGAAAACCTGAATCTCACCAAATTAATGCTTAAAACTATTTAAAAAACCCAGAATCTCCTGATATTGAGACAGGAGATATTGTTTTGCAGTGGGAGATACTGGTTTGGGATGGGAGATACTGGTTTGAGATGCAGCTGCCTCTTCAAACACCACAATCTGTGAGGAAGGAATGGGATGGAACTGGACTCTCTCCTCCAAACTGTAGGAATATCCCAACATTATAAGGCAAAAAAAAAAAGAGAAATTTTTAAAAATGTGCATTTTTGGGTTTCTCCTGAGGCAGCTTCAGGTGGGAAATACAAATCCAGGTGTGGCACCTGCGCTTCTGCCCCAGACATGGACAGTTCTGGGTCAAACATTTGAGCTGCTGGGAGAACCAGTTGGAAACCCGAGGGCTGGGGGGAAAATGCTCCCTCAGAACTGGTCTGTTTTCCTTCTGTTCCAGTTTCCCAGGGATTGACTGGGATATGGCATCCAAAGCTAAGGGGAAAGAAGACCCCGCAGCTGCTGGGAAAACCAAGGAAGGAACGAGGAGCAAGGATGGAGAGACATCCACAGAAACAAGCGAGGTGGAAAACCTCCTCCGGGAGAGGAAACTGTACCTGCAGGAGGAATGCGGGATCCTCACGGAACACCTGGACACCTACCTGGGCAGGACAGAGCAGCTCCTGCGGGAGAGCAAATCCCTGGAAGAGGCGGCCCAGGGGACTCGGGAGCAGAGCCAGACTTTCCTGTCGTGCGGAGCAAAGCTGGGCCGGGAGCGCCGGGATCTGCTGGTCACCCTGAACGAGCGGAACTGCCGGGATCTGGCCCAAAGCCGGGCGCAGAGGGAGCGGCTGATCCCGCAGTACGCCGGGAAGGAGCAGGAGCTGACGAGCTCCCTGAGGGACACGGAGGCCGAGGCCTCTCTCCTGGACACGGAGCTGGAGGAGCTGGAGCCGTACAAGGAGGTGTTGGCCCAGTCGGAGCAGAGGGTGAAGGAGCTGGAGCAGGAATTGCTGGGGACCAGGATCCGGTGTGCCGAGGAAACCCGCAACGTCAAGAGCAGGTTCCTGCAGGAAAAGGCCGCCTGCGAGCGGGAATTGCAGCGCAGGATGCAGCGGCTCACCTGGGGAGCCGAGGAGGTGGCGCTGCGGGCTCTGATCCAGCACGTGGAGCAGGTGAAGGCAGAGAACAGGCGCCTGCGCCGGGAGCTGCTCGGCCTCATCCAACACTCCCAGGTCCTCAGGGACGCCCAAATCCGGCTGCGGGATCAGCAGGAGCAGCTGCTCCGGGAGAACCAGTGTGCCCAGCGGGTGGCACTGGTGACACCAGCGCGGAGCCCCCGGCGCCGCCGGGACAACTCGCTGTGCCCTCCTGGGCAGGGGTGGCCACGGACCCCGAACCACCGGGACAACCCGCTGTGCCCTCCTGGGCAGGGGTGGCCACGGACCCCGAACCGCCCGAGCTGCAGAAAATAAACACGGCAGCGACCGGAGCCTTTCGGCAGTGGAAGCAGGGAAGGGTTTGAGCCCTGATCACAAGGATCCATAAAATATATTCATGGAATATATCCATATCCGTGTTCTCCTTCCCTCCCAGGGAGGCGGTGGTGGCCCCATCCCAGTGTTCAAGGTCAGGTTGGATGGGGCTGGGAGCAACCTGGGATAGTGGAAAGTGTCCCTGCCCCTGCAGAGGGGTGAGACTGGATGGGCTTTAAGATCCCTCCAACCCAAACCATTCCAGGATTCCATGAAATTAGGGCACCCCCAGTGCAAAAGGCTTGTGTGAGAGAGACATGTGCCCCCAGCAGTGGCTCTGGGGCTCTGCAGGAGGGAGGGAGCAGGGACCATCCCCGGGAGCTCTGATGTCATTGGGAACAGGTGGGATAGAGCTGGAGCTCTGCTCCAGGCTCTGGATGAGATCCAGGTGTGGATTGCCAGATGACAGAGGCTTCAGTGGTCACTCCTGCCAGGGAAAAGGCTGGTAATCAACTCATACAAAAAACCCCTAAACCAACATCCTTGGCTGTAATTTGAGGTGATTTCAGCCCCCCGGGTTTGGCTGCAGGTAAAGGACTCTCCAGAGCACCAACACAAACTCACCGGCTCTGGTGCTGGGGAGTCTCCTCCCGATGGAGGGGGTTTGGGAAGGACAGGGCTCCCACACCTGTGTTGGCAATCCCAGCCCTCTCCCAACAGCCCTGGAAACGAAGGTCTCCACATGAGGCAGCACATGCTGGAAAACGCTGGCAAGTCAGGATTTTCCCTTATTTCCCATCAAGTCGAACTGTTGACCCGGAATGAAGCTGATGTGGAGAGTCAGTCCAAGCACCCAGTGAGACACTGAGGAACTTCCTTGTGCAGCTGCTTTGCTTCAGGCTGCTGCTTCACTAGGGATTTGGATTCCCACTCATCTACCAAGCAGGAATGCACCAGGAATCCACAGGACTCACAGAATTTAGGCTTGTGCACTTTCAGCAGCAGGGACTAGATCAGGAACAGCATTCCAGACCCTGGGCCAAAGGAAACACCAGTGGAATGCAGCTCTGATGGGGTGTCCAGATGCAGGCTTTCAGCTGGTGATTAATTATCTCAATCAAAGGGACTCGGGAGAAAGTGCTTCCAGGCTGGGGCAGAAGGATGGGGGAAACAGGGGTGACAGCTACGGGAATGGACTGGAACCAGTTTCAGGTGAATTCGGTTTCCTGCAATCATGGAACACCTGACTGAGCTCACTCAAGCATCATATCCATTGGGGACGAGACCTCCAGCCTGGTTTTTCAGGGAAGCAATCCCAGTGGAGGCAGGAGAGGTCTCAGCAGAGGAGCAGGAGTCCCTGAGCTCCTTTTCCCTCAAAATGATCCAACTCAAAAGTCCGGAGCCAATCCTGCCCCACTGGCACCAGGCTCTGGGGTCTGGTGCTTCTCCCACCTCCCCTGGAGCTGCTTCCCCTCCCCAGTGGGGCCTCTGGGCTGATGGGGAGGCTCTGGTCTGATGAGGGCTGGAATTTCGGATCCCTCCACTGAAGAGAGGCTGGAGTTTGTCACTGCTGGGCTGCAGAGCTGAGATGTGGAGGCCCATCCTGAGCAGCCTCTTGGCTGATTATTTTAGTGTTTATTGAATACCTTGGGAACGGGATGTGCATTGGGAAAAAAAGGAGTGGTTTCCACTTTAATACAGATGGTGGCAAAAATCTACAGGAATCAAGATGAGGTTTGTTGTAACATGAGGAAAAAAACTGGGAAATATAAGAGATGTTAGGAAAAAGGATGGAAGAAGTAGCCAAAGTACGGAAAAAAGCTGAAAAGGATTTCTTCTTCCATATTATCATGGAATTGGGGAATCCCAGGATGGTTTGGGTTGGAGGGACTTAAAAACTCATCTTGTTCCACTCCATGCCATGGGCAGGGACACCTCTCACTATCCCAGGTTGCTCCAAGCCCCATCCAACCTGGCCTGGAACACTTCCAGGGTTCAGGCAGCTAAAGCTTCTCTGGGCAATCTGTGCCAGGGCCTCACAACCTTCACAGGGAATAATTTATTCCCAGTATCCCATCCCATAACCTTGTCCGTGGGAAGCCATTCCCCTTGTCCTGGCACTCCAGGCCCTTGGCAAAAGTCACTGGAGCAGGATCAGGGGATTAAAGGATCAGCAGGGTTAAAGGAAGAAGGAAACTCATGGGTTGTGCTAAAACCACTTTAATAATTGGAAAGAAAAGTCAAAATATTGGAAGGGAGAAAAGAATCCCCAAAGAGAAGCAAATCCCCCCTATGCCCCCACTCAGCTGCCCCCCAACCCCCAGCCATCGCTCAGGGAGGGCGTCCCCTGGGCTTGTGCAGTGTCCCCCTGCAGCGGGGGGTCCCCGTGCCCCCCGGCCCGTCCTGCCGTCCTGGTGACACCGGTGGCTCCGTTCCTGAGCCCTCGTCTTGGCCGGGCACGGTGGCAGAGGTGACAGCGGTGTCCTCGTGGCTCAGGGGGTGCCGATGGCCACTGCCAGGGCCAGCATGGCCAGGAGGAGCCCAGTGAGGCTTGGGGGTTCCCTGCGGATGCTGCTGCCTGCAGGGGGCAGGAGAACAAAGTCAGAGGGAGCTGGGCAGGAGAAAGGGGGACCCAGGGTGGGCAGGATCTGAGGGGAGGTCAGCAGTGTTGTGGGGTGTCCAACCAGCCTGTGCCAGGCCAGATCCAGCTGTCCTACACCGTGTCACACCATGCCATGTTGTGTCATCCCATCCCATCCCTTCCTATCCCATCCCATGCCAGGAGAGCAGCTGGAGCCGTCCAATGCTGCACACAAAGCTCTGCCACCCCCATCTGCTGCCCCACTACAGACCCCCCTGTTCCAGCAGAGCCAGTGCCCTGGTGCCACCCCCGCCCTGTCCCTGCACCCGACCTCAGGTGTCCTGACCCCAGGGATGTCACCTCGGAGCCACGCGCAGTTGTATTTGCTGTACACGCCGTGGGGGCGGAGCTGGATGTGGGTTTTGTCCCCTTGGCGGGTGACACTGGTGACATTAAAGGTCTCGAAGGGCGGGATGAGGACTTCCTCCTCCCAGGGCATGAAGGAGAAGTCCCGGATTTTGGCGCCATGGCAGGTGTCCAGCTCGAAGAAGGTGTCGGTGCCAAACCTCTTGGCAATTTCTTTGTTGAGGGAGGCAGAGGTGAACTGGCCAAAGCGGACGATGTCACCGGGCTGGGCAGTGAAGCGGATCCCTCGGACCCCCCGGTACACGTGGAGGCAGCGGGGGTGGGTCTGGGCATCCCGCAGGTCATCCAGGGCCTCGGTCAGCAGGAAATGCACCAACTTGAAGTGAAATTTGTCCAGATATTCCTGGCGGGAGTGCCCGGCCGTGGGCACGGCCCTGTTGAACTCCTTGTACAAATCTGTCTCCAACGTGTATGCCAGGAGGGCGATGGCCTCTTCCTTCCAACGCAGAGACCCCAGGGA